CCTCCCGAGTCGAAATATGGCCATCGTTAAGCCTCAGGTCAAATGGTGCCGCAGGGTCCCCCGGACCCGAGGGTCCCTGTGAACCCGATTGGGGGGGGGGGGGAGTGCGTGTTCCCTTAGACCCCTAGCTACGCCACTGTTTCATATGCATCAAGTCAGGTATTTTAGGCTCGCCTCCCCCCCCCCCCCAACTTGAAAATCGTTCCCGGGCCCCCAGGAATTTTCCTCCGACACCCCAGCCAAAATACAATTTTGGGACACCGAGGGGTACCCCAGTCCTAACAACGTATACTGACTAAATCCTTTTTAACTATTATTGATAGCACCTGACCTGTATTGTTCATTTGCTGTTTGCAGGAGAAAGGTCATCCCATATCCTATAGCGACAAGTAGAAAAAAAAAATCAAAGAAACAGACTGCTTTGAATATAGTTATAGACGATTTAACAAGCCTCAGCAGCAGCAGCAAACCAAGGTTGAAAACATGTTGAACTTAGAGTTGACTAGATTTCATTTTTTTAAATACCTTCAGGCCTCGTAACGATTTTATCAGAATTTTATTACTATCTTACTTTCCACCAGCATTGCCCCTCATGTTCCTATTGGTGGAAACAAATATCCCCACAAAAATGCCGATATCGCCCATGCCCAAGCGTTCACTATCTACCCTATCGGGTCCCCCTAGAACCTCCATTAACAGATATGTACCGAGCCCGGCATACATGGAACAACGTACCTTTCAAAACCCCGGCCACCTTGGCCTATACCTGACGATGTCCCGTAAGACCTGCTAGGCAGCACGGGCAGCACCACTGGAGCTAGATGAGCTGGGAGGGGTCGGAACTCCCTCAGCTGACGCGGGAGCTGTGAAGAAATCCTCCAGCGGCCAGAGAAGACTCTGGCCCAGCGGGCCGGCCCCGCCGAGTGTGCCGATCCGTCGCCGTTCAGAGTCGGATGCCAACCACCCACCAAGCCATGGAAGAAAAAAAAACGGATTGTGTCACATAACCATTTTTAGCCGAAAGCTCGTATCAAAGGAGGGTGTCAAGAGGGGTTATACATACTGGAGCCATTTAACTGACAATACGCGCGATGACACATCGGCAGGATATGCATATTGCATACCAACATTACCATGATTGATGTCGCTTATGCATGCCTAGGCAATGCTCTATTTATTGACCACGACAAAAAGGCACCTTACTCTGGCAAAAAAAAAAGATTCACAAACGCCACTACCATAAAAAAAAACTGAAAACAGTTAACTCGCACCTCAATGTAGAGTGAGAGCAAAACAATCACGGGCTACCATAAAACTGCATCGTTATAGAAAATGGCATACCTAATGCAGTCTTTAAATATGAGGGTGAAAACTTCCTTTGGGTACTATCCTGTAACTTACTATATTATCGCCAGTGCATCCAAACCACCTAACATAATTTCCCATCTAATCTAAAATATCCTAGTCCCGACTCCCGAGACTTACCACACAAGTGGTTTCCACTATCACCTCTGCACCTCCGTACCTATATCACCCACTTAACCTTTCACTCCAACCTAACCAGTAACCAGGTAACAATACCATTTTAGACCAATACCATTGCAATGGGTATCATTAGCATGAACTCCATTTACCCTCTCAAGTCTCACCTGGTAGTTGGTACCCTTATTATCAACAATCCCTAACCCACTAATGAAAAACCCGCTCGGACACGCTCGGACAGAGCCAAACATCACCAGCAGCTCATTCTCCACGGGGTACGCCCACCTGGCACACCTTACGCCAGTAACCGTTCACCTGTATGGGAACCACAGTTCAACCAACACCAGGCACCACCAAAACGGCAATTCTACCAACTCTCTGCACAACCACCGGCCAACACCACGTGGCCACCAAACCCTACGCCGGCCAGGCCCACCTGGCCCACCTGGGCGTACCTCCACGGGGTACGCCCACCTGGCACACCTTACGCCAGTAACCGTTCACCTGTATGGGAACCACAGTTCAACCAACACCAGGCACCACAAAACGGCAATTCTGCCAACTCCAACCACCGGCCAACACCACGTGGCCACCAAAAACCCCACGCCGGCCAGGCCGTGCACTCTGAGCTGCTACACCGTACCGAGAAGCATGAGCTGATTTCACTCGCACTGAGTGTAGGATGGCAAAGTCCGGCGTTCCGTTCCAGGGAAGAAGAAAAAAAAACAGTTTCAGCTATGTTACACATAGCGAGAACCTACACCCAATCTCCCAAAATCTGAAAAACACCACCAAGCAAATTAGCAGTCCATGTTTCATTCTTTTATCCAACCTTCAAAGAACCTATAATACCAGGCATTTGCCGACCCATTGCTCATCGACCCCTTTCTTACCTCGATAGCATAACATAAGCACAAAATAACCAAACCTCATGCCGAAAATAAAAACAAACAACTAACAAACAACAAACCAGTAAAAATAAACATAAAAAACCCGAAAGGATAAACATCCTCGTCAATCAATATAACATTGATATAAAACCAAACTTATACTCCCCTTGATGTCTTCCAGTTTCAACTGAACACGACCGCAGTAAACGCAAAAACATTTCAGAGCGAGAACACTGCTGACTTGCGTCAGACCGGGCAGCCTAGAACAGAGTGACCGCGCATATACACTCAAACCCCGCGCCGCCACCGTCACGTGACACGAGTCGCTCCACCAATCAGAGGAGGCCGCCGCCTCAGCGGCCTTGCCGCCCGGGGCGCGGGCGGCCGCCCGCCTGCCGCCGAACGCTGCTCGCCGAGGCCGGCCAGGCTCCGGGGCCGCCCCAGAGAAGACGCTCGTAGTGTCGCGGAAAAACCGGTTATATCTTGTTATATATAACCGGGCGTATTTGTGGTGACGTAGTTTCTGTCTATTACGAAGGTCGCGACATGGTGCTACGTAGCGCGGGTTACAGGTCACACCGTTGCACCTACCGCGCTGAAGTTTGCGCAACTCATAGAACAAGGATGGACAACGTGCCTTTGATGGGTCTCAGCTCGATCGGATCGATAGCGAGCGCGTGGCGCGTGCCCAAAAAGTGCAAATTCACGTCATAGACTTTACATGTATTAATCGGCTGGCAAAAACGGGCGAAAACAGCCAAATTTGCCCGACACGGGCCCGGTCCCGGTGCAATATCTCGGTAACCGTGGGCCCGACCGGTACGGGGAAAACAGTATCGTGTAGAGAATCGAACGGGCTATCGAATGGTGTGCGGTGCAGGGGTTGGCACGCGCCACGTGCACCGGGGAGGACACTTTCTTTTGAAAAATGGACGTTTTGGACGGATTTTGGAATTTATATTAATTTCAGGTGATCGTCAGACGGAATGAGTTGAAACAGCGCCTATTAGCAATAAAAATGTACCGTCTCTCATGGAAAAATTGTGAAAAGCTAATTGATCAAAAACAATGAGGAAAAAATCGCTGAATTAACCCTCGCCCGTAAACGGCGATCTGCCACCTTCGCCCATGCAGGGTTGGTGCGACCCCCCCCCCCTTGGCGTTTGAAAACGGAGCGTCGTAGAGCTTAGCGGAAAAGACCAACGGATTGCTCTCGCCGAGATCTCGCGATTGGTGGTATATTTTTTGGTCCTAGGTCAACATTTGACCTACTTTTGACCGGTCAAAGGTCAAATTTTCGGAAAAATAGACTTTTTTCAACTTTCCGCGGCGATTGCGGCAAAACGGTGGGAGATATCGACTTGAAACCTTCACTATCGTGTTCCTTGATCAATTCTCTATCGTTTGGTATGTATTTCGTTTCCCTAGCTCTAAAAATGGCGCGTTGGGAGCGCCGGAAGTCGGCAAGGTCACAGTCGGCGGCAGAAATTCGAAAAATCAAAATTTAAATTTTTGAAATCTGATTGTATTTTTGGATTTGGGAGGTCCATTTGCTCCCTATAGAAGCTAATATTGCTGCATGTTCCCATTGAGGTGACAAGAATTAGCAAAATAGTGGTTCGGGCGCTTTTCAAAAATAGTACCGGACGCTGTTCCTCTTGTGACGTCATAGCTCCGTGACCTGACCTGACCCGGTCAAGTTTTTTAAACCATATGATAGCCAATGCTTGCCCCAACATGCATGGGAAGTTTCATCACGATCCATCAACCGATGTCCGTACCACCGGCAGGAAACCTCGGGCGTTGGCACTCAGTTTGTGAAAATCCGGCCGGAGGCTGTTCCCTTTGTGACGTCATAACTCCGTGACCTGACATGACCCGGTCAAATTTTTTTTTTATCAAAAGATGCGCACGGTTTGCCCCATAAGGTACCCAAAATTTGGCGGCGCTGCGCGCCGCCGTTTGTGCACTATTTTCGAAAAACCTCAGGGGGGGGGGTTGCACCAACCCCCCCCCCTACATGGGCGAGGGTTAAATGGTATTTGTCCAAAATGTGTCACTAAATAATTACACGGATTTTGCTGCTTAACCTGATACGTTTGACAATTGAAAATGCTATCATTGGAAAGAGCATTCAATTCTCGCCAAGATCCAATCATCACGTTTGCATGACAAGCAACAGTATTCTTAAAAATATAAGTGTTTCAAACCTCTGCAAAACGATTTTTAGTGAAAATTATCTACGCCTTTAATTTGTCATAAAACTACGTGCCTAAATTATAAAGCACATTTGACAGATTCTGAAGTGGAAAGCATGCTTATCAGACACGGGCACCTCGATGCGGTGGTGGATATTTTTTCCACGAACCAAAACGTTTTGCCGTCAAAAGGCAATCGACCGAAATGGATAGATAACCCAACCGACACAAGAACAACCGAACACCCGCCGATCGAAAATATCCCTTTTCGCGTTGCGGAGCACGCGGGTCACCCTAGTAGTTGTCTATTTTTCGTCTGTTCAATGTCCGCGGCCTGCAGTTCCGTGTGATTCAACGTAGGACTGAGGAGCAGATTGTCATGTGTGCGAGCGGCTCTGTCTGACGATGTCCGTGCCTCCGGCCGTTTCAGACCAGATCACCTTCCACGTGCGGGCTGTTGGAGAGTGGACCCGCAGTCTGCACGACAAGGTGCTGGAGGCGTGTCTCAAATCCTTCCTCTACGACCAGTTCGTACTGATGAAGGCCACCGCGACGCCCCACCCGGGCCCCAGCGACCTGGTCTGCCCGCAGCTGGCGCCACCTACACCGGCGACGGTAGCGCCACCGCCAGCGCAGCGGAAGTCGGGTGTAACAGCCGTGACGCCCGAGCAGCTGCAGCGCCTGGAGTGGCTGCGGCAGGCACAGGCCGAGTCGGCCCCTCACGGGTTCTCCTGTCAAAACCCGGCGGCGGACGGTCCGAGTGGCCTCCACAATGCCGGGTTTGTGGGCGACGAGCGCGTCGATCCGGTCAGGACGGTGTCGGCGCAGGTGTCGGAGGCGACGGTCGGTGCCGGCGGCTGCGGCGGCGGGTCGGCCAAACGGAGAGAGGCAGAGGGTCCGGCCAAGCGGAGAGAGGCAGAGGGGTCGGCCAAGCGGATAGAGGCAGAGGGCTGCCAGCGGCCGGCGCCCGGTCCGGGGACGGTGGCCGGCTGCAGGACCGGCTCCGTCAGAGAGGCCGGCGCCGTCCATAAACAGCACTCGCTTCAGAAGGGCACCGTCGATAAACTCAGCTGGAAGGTGGGTATCAGCCGAGCGGTGGGCATGACTTTTCAATAGCGTTGATCTGGTGAGAGTTCTACTTCTATGATGCACGCTTGGATTAAGTAAATTTGTCGTCATACGTACCTAGACTAAATCGACAAATTTGATGACCTAAGTTCTCATCAGCCCTGTGTCTGAAGCCGTGATCGTTTCCCGCTGTTTCTAGCGATCATGGGTATGACTGTGTCTCTACCCCCCGGCAGATAATCCTGGACGGTCCGTACGGGGCGCCGTCGACCAGTGTGTTTCACGCGCAACACGCCGTGCTGGTGGGCGGCGGTATCGGCGTCACGCCGTTCGCGTCGGTGCTGCACTGCATCATGGACCGGTCAGTAAGGACAGGGGAGGGGTATGACGTACCCATAAACGCATACGGGATCATGGGCCGGTCTGTGCACGAGTTGCTGTCTCTATCACTCTCTTGACTTGTTCATTGTTGACTGTGTGACCAAAAGTACAAAAGTATCAAAAGCTTAAATGCTTTGCCCCTGTCACTCTGTGTTGGCTTTAAAATCGGTTCACCTAGAATATACCTTTATCAACACATCAGAATAAGTGCTTTCAGCCACAGCAGAATATGAACCCTTTTGAACGTTATACACACACCCATACCTCTGACCTAAGTATTTACCTTCTCTAACCTCGATCTACCAAACGCCTGACTGTGTCGCTCTGTTTCAGGTATAACGCGGCGCACCGGCCCTGTCCTCACTGCCTGGTTCCCACCTGCCTGGAAATGCCATCGTCAATGCTCAAACTGAAAAAGGTACGGGCACCGGGCTGATCTCTGCTTCGGTCAGAAGTGTGTTATGTGTGGGTCCCAGGGTGCGAGGAAGGAGTGGTGATTGTTATGTCTTGGCTTTTCTTGTCTGAGACAAATAAATGAAACGTTCTTAAGAAGTTCAAACGTTCAGTGTCACTTTAATGGCCTACTTCTCATCTGAATAGTATCCAGTGAATAGATTTGTGCTCCTTGCTCATCCTCACTGTCATGTGTACTGCGTAGTGCGTAGCTTACCTATGTGACGCTTTCCATGCCCTCCCGTTTAGGTGGACTTTGTGTGGGTGAACCGCGACATGCGCAGCTTCGAGTGGTTCCTGGAGCTGCTGCACCAGCTGCGCGAGTCGCAGCAGCGGCGTGGCAGCCAGCTGGACAGCTTCCTCACCATGCAGCTGCACAAGACGTCCTCACTGCCCATCGTCGGCGCCGTGCCGCTGCGCAACGAGGTCAAACAGGGACGGCCCGACTGGGACAAGGTCAGTCTGGACTTGGAGGGTGTTGAGGGGTTGTGCGGGAGGTATTGTGGGTGCTGTGTCATCAGCTCTGCAAGTATTGTAAGCCCATGGTGCGATCCATTAGCACTAAGTGATATGCAGCGTCTCCGGTGATCTGTTACGGTGCTCGGTCTCGATTAATCCCCACTGTGACCCTTACGACCCTGTGTCCCTACATTGTTTTGCCCCTGATATAATCAGTGCCCCTTTCGTGGCCCCGGCCCTCGGTACCCCTCCGCTGACCGCTCCCCGGTGCACCTGCCAGGTGTTTGGCCAGATCCGGGACCGGCGGCGCGGCAAGGTGACGGTGTTCTTCTGCGGCCCGCCGGCGCTCGGCCGCGTCATCAGGGAGAAGGCGGCCAAGTTCGGCTTTGGCTTCGTCAAGGAGATGTTCTGAGCGCGCCGTTGCCGCTGTCGCTCCGTCCCGTGCCATACCAGTACCGTTCCTCGGACAGGGGGCCGCCCGGCGCCCGCTGTCCGGAGCGAGCGCCGCCGTCAGGGTACGAACTGAACTCACCGGCAGCAGAGAACAGGAAACCAAATAGGATCGTGTGCCGAATTCCCGTGGCCCTGCGCCGGACAGAGGGCAGCCCGAGAGAGGCCCGTGCTGCCGAGCGCTACCGAGAGCTCGGTTTGTCCACTCGGTACCCGTCTAGTACCCTCTGGTACCACCGGGTACAGGCTGGTACCGGTTTCAAGTGCGCGTCCCGGCCGTCGAGCTGAGTCATTGACTGTGACCGCGTGTGACTGACCGATTGTGACTGAGTGAGTGACTGGGCGCCGTGCGCCCGATAAGTGAGTGCATTGTGCGCGAGGCCGTGCGTTGGTCGTCCCGAGACCGGCTCCGGGGCCTTAGTGTGACGCCGTCTGCCGTACGGCGAGAGTGGGACCACTAAGTTAATTATTTGAGCAGCTGAACTCTGTGCCTAGTGACTGTCGTGAAGTGTAGTATTGTATGTGTATTCGTGTATCGTATTCCTGTGATAAATAATACATGTGCGTTCAGTAACAGTGATTCTTCTTACCTGAAGGACGCTTCGATATTCTGAACGTGATTTGAACAACTAACGTGTTTTGGTAGCGCCACACCCACGGCACTTCACCGCGAGGACGGAAAGACTCGCCTATTATCGAGACATCCAGCAAAAAAACAGACAAAAGAGGAGCGTGTGGATAAATAACCGTCAAAAAGTCACAACCCTGTATTCGATGTGCACCCATATCGTGTGGCGTAGGGGCCCGAGAAATGGCCAGAGATGATCATGGAACCGCTACAGGAAGGAACGTGGAACTCTATGGCACGAGCTGAACGAAAATCCGTCGATTCGTGAATGATATCGATAATATCGGCGCTCTGAAGACGAATGTGGCTGAATTATCAAGGGATAGAGCTAGATGCTAAAATGGGACTTTAATTGAGCTTTAACCGCCTTGATCGAGATGGATTTCAATGCAGATTGCATATATATTCCGCCAAGTGCTTACCGTATCGAACTAATGCGATTCAGAGAATGCGATGAGTTCACCATAGGCCGATTTCATTAATGCATTTCGATATCATTTCATTAAGCCATGGGTAAACACATATTTCAAAACAACATCGCACTGACGGTATTCTACAGTTTTCTTGTGTGTATAAACCTGGCGACCTTCTCATTGACACTGTATTATCGGGCGGCCGAGAGCGACGACTGGCTGGTGTCGGTGACATCGGCACTCGGTGAGCGGGCAATATTTGCAGGTGACAGCTCGAAGCTCACCTATAATGACCCTAGCAATTAAACGCAATACACATTACCCAAGCGCTATTCCCATCGCCCATCCCATCACATCGCCTTGCACCAATAAGTGTGACGTGACTGGATTGTTCTTCATTCTTGAGCTCTGACCGCTCCCCTGTCCCAGGTAAGATCCTGCTGCTGGACACTGCCGTGCTGCCCATCACGGTGTGTCGCCGGATCCTGGCCTGGGTGCAGGAGACGCCGCTCTTTATGGTCTCACCGTCCAACAGCCACAAGAGCATCCACCGCACGCTGAGCCTGACCGTCTGCATCCTGGCCGTGGTGCACTCGGCCGCCGCCATGTGGTCCTACTGTGAGTACACACCGTGGCAGGTAGGTACTGAGAGCACCTGGGGGAGCTTGTGGGGTTACGGCGGGTACGTAAGGTTGGATCACCCGGAGACCAGTTACGAGAGACCCAGTCCTACTGTGGGTGCCTTCTGGGGACATGGGTGAGCACTGCGAAGTGCGAGCACCCGCTCTTGGGTAAGCATGAAAATGTTGAGCGGGTACCTACCGGCCGAGACATGAGGGGACGCAAAGAACAGGGCTGAGACACCCAGAACACCGGCCCTTTCGGAGACTTACGGCATCAAAAGACACCAGTTCTGTGGCTGTGAAGTTTTTCCTGCCGCCAGTTGTGGACACTGAGAACCTGGCAGAGCTGTACGAGCGGCCGGACCAGCTGCAGTTGAACGTCTCCGGCTTCGCCTGCCTGGTCGTCGTGCTCATCATCGTCATCACCTCCCTGCTGAGGCACCACATGTCCTTCCTGGTGGGTGCGCCGGCGTGACGAGAGCAGTGGGTGGTTTGGTCATCGAGCCACCGACTGGCGGGTTGTTAGGTCACTGGATGGCGGACTCTGAGTTCACCTGGGTCACTGAGTGACCCTCTCAGACCTTAGGATCTCAGTGAGATCGGTGAACAGTAGGTGGTGAGTGGGTGGAGTCGCTGGGTCACAGAGTGGCGATGGACCAGGCTCCGCCCAGTCTGTTCACTGGTGATGCCGCTAGCCAGTCTCATCGAGTCATATCAGTCTCATGAGTTCATCAAGCAGCCATTCAGTCAGTCCCTCGGTCAGTCAGCCATTCAGTCAGCAACTGTCAGTCAGTCAGTGACAATGACGCACCCTCGGGTGGTGTTGCAGGCGTTCTTCCTGACGCACCAGCTGTACGTGGTGCTGTACGGCCTGATGATGGTGCACGCCGGACGCTTCTGGAAGTACCTGGTGCTGCCCGTCTGTCTTTGGTCGGCCGAACTACTGCTGCGGATCGTCTACAGCCCGCGCCGCTCCGCCATCGCAGAGGTCACCCTGCTGCCCTCCAATGTGAGCTTCCGTCACCGTGGTGAGAGCTGAAGTCACGGCATTGCCATTCCGTGGCGATGGGGTTTGGGATTATTGCAGCAGAGTCTGAGATCCAGGTATAGGGCAATACATACGAGTTATCCATGATCTATGTTAGTGACTAGTCATGTATGTATAGCCGATAACTTGGGTAAAACGTGGGTGGACGTTCAGCTGGAAGTTCGTAAACGCGCCATTGTCCCCCCAGGTGCTGGTTCTGGTCCTCGAGCGGCCTCCAAAGATGCTGTTCAAGCCGGGAGACTACGTGTTCGTTCAGATACCCAAGATCGGGAGGTTCGAGTGGGTGAAGTTTACGATAACCAGCGCCCCGGAGCAGCAGGGTAAGAGACAAACGCCAAGAAAAAAGCAGGCGCACATCGACGTATAATCGATATTTCAACTACACTAATCATGAGAAAATCCAACACATAGCAGGGTGGTCACTCGTGCTGTCTCACGTGCTACCATTTCCGGTCACCGTATCCCGCTGACGATGTCCGCCACATCTGATCACCGTGATCTGCTCACAGATCTGATCACCGTGCACGTGCACATCACCAACAACTGGTCGTTCCGGCTGCGCAACTACTTCCTGCAGGACGTGTCGTTCCACTACATCCCGCACCGGCTGCACGCGCTCGAGTCCATCACCGTCATCCAGAAGGTGGTCAAGTCGTGGCGCAACATGTTCGGGGGCTTCCAGAACATCGAGGTGCCGATGGGCAAGCCGCGAGAGACCAGAAAGGAGCGGCTTCAGAGGAATAAGGTGAGATGACTGTTGGGCATCGGATCAGACCAGAGCGCCGCGACCGATCGCCGACCGGTCAGTGACGGAGGGAAGGAAGGGAGGGAGGGAGGGAGGGAGGGAGAGATAGAGAGAGAGAGAGAGAGAGAGAGAGAGAGAGAGAGAGAGAGAGAGAGAGAGAGAGAGAGAGAGAGAGAGAGAGAGAGAGAGCTTGTAGCGCCCTTTAGTGTGACATCGTCTAAGCCAGAGGAGAAATATTGAACACATACCATTACCTAATACCTATGCCTGAACAGATGAAGTAGCTTCCATGGCTATTGAACTTAAGTGTTATTCTCCGAGACGTTGCAGATAAGGCACGCCCTGTTGTATGTCCGGTCGCTGGTGACTTCCTGTAGCGGTGACGCAGGTCTGCTGACGCCCTCTCCGCCGGCGCCGGCAGGTGGACGCCATGAAGGTGGAGGAGAAACACCTGACGCTGGACGTGGTGCTCTCGGAGGATGACGTCACCGAGCCGGAGCCGTCGGCCGCCGTGCTGCTGGAGAAGCCCTCCTCCTCTACGCCGGCCGCCAGCCAGGCGCCGGCCGCCGCGCCGCCGGACCCGGCCGCCAGCCGACGCTCGCTACCCGGCCCGGCGGGCGCCAGTCCGACCAGCTCCTACACCGAGTACCGGCAGGCGGGCCGGCGCGTCGAACAGGAGGCGTCCCAGTTCACCGGCTTTGCCGAGGGCTACTCGGTGTTCACACGCGAGTACGGCAAGACGCTGCGGTTCAGCACGGCCGCGCCGCCGGCCGGCCGCCAGCAGTTCCGTAAGGTGAAGCACCACTCGCTGATACCGTCCCTGGACCAGAAGGACGGCAGCGGCGCCGGCGGGTCGCAGCAGCCGGCGCCGCCGCTGCTGCCGCCGCTGCCGGCCGGCGCCGCGCCGCCCGCCGACAGTCGGCAGCGTCTGCCCAACATCGGCAGCATGCAGGCCACCGCCGCGCCCGCCGCCGGCGAGGGCACCTCCATCGTCAGCTCCATGAAGCGGCGCCGACAGGCGGTCGATGACGACGGTGACGACACCATCGAGTACGCCGATACCATTCGGGTGAGGGCGTCGGCCGCCGAGCCGGTGGACCGTGAGACAAATGATAATGGGGCATTTGCTACCCGTCCGCGCACACTGGCCGGTGGGCTTGACTATTTGCGACTTCCATTTTCTGAGTTGATTGCAGGCATTGTGTCTCCACTCGCACTGACTGGGTCTCGGCTCACTGCTCTGACCGCTATCACTGCTGTGCGCCGCCAGGTATTCATTGACGGGCCGTACAGTTACGGCGGGGAGAAGGTGGGCATCTTCTCGGCCCGGCACGCTATCATCATCCTGGTCGGACCGGACGTGTTTCCTTTCGCGGCCGTGCTGCAGAGCATACTCATCAGGTGAGACGCGAGACGAGGCGACGCTGTCAGTTTTCCCGGCACAGACGGGAGGTCGAGCAGATATTAATGGTGGTGATATCATGGGCGTATCCATTAGTGTGCTGCTTTTGCGCCCGTGTCATCATTTTTTTGTTGTAGCTGCGTTGTACCAGTGTAGCTCGTGTAACGAGAATTCACCGACTCGGCGGAGTGATGACGAATCTCGTGTTGGCAGGTATCGTTCCGAAATCGTGCCGTGTCCAAACTGCGCCTGCGAGTTCAAGATGCAGCTGCCCAGCTCATTCATGAACATTCGGAAGGTGAGAACATGCATACGTTAACGCTAAAGCGTTCCCCTCGACTGCGTAGTTTTGTAGTTTTTAGTGTTCAAGTGCGTGCAGTACGGCAAGAGTATGAATATGCTCCGTCTCCCCAGGTGGACTTTGTGTGGGTGAACTCGGACATGGAGGGTTACGAATGGTTTCTCGAGCTGCTCGAAGATATGGACCACTACCAGAGGCACAGGAACCTGCTCGAGAACTTCCTCGAGTTCTACCTCTTCAAGACGGGCATCAAGCCCATGCCGTCGTTTACGCCGCTCAGAAGGCAGCTGCGACAGGGCCGGCCGAGATGGAACGAGGTCAGTCGCAAGCCAGACTGGAGTGGATGGGCGATAGATTTGTGCACCACTTCCTTCGGAGACTAGTTGTGTGTGGGCCACCATGGCACATTGAGGAAAAACGCGACATGCACCTAAATCATGGAAAACAACGGGAGAATAGTAGCGATGGTTCAATAGAGCGCCGTGGCGATTATATTGCACCAGTTTTTATCAAAGGATAACAATATGTCTCCAATTTTCTGATTAACCGCTGCCAGCCCTCTGTCGACAGGTACTGGACGAGATAGTCGGCAAGAGTAGCGGCGGTGTCGAGGTGTTCTTCTCCGGTCCGCGCACAGTCCGCAAGGTGGTGCAAAAGGCCTGCACTCAGGCCGGTCTGGTGTTCAACTGCACCAACTTCTGAGGGCCTCGGCACCAGCGGTGGTGACCGGCCGCGTGCGGTGTACCCGACACCGGCGTTGATGACCGGCCGCGCGACGAAGCGCGGGGTGACGGGGAGGAATGGTCGACTGTGGAGTTGTCGTCGGACGGGCCGGCGACTAGTCGTGTCAGTGTGTGTTGTGGGTGTGAACGCGTGTACACAATGAAACAGGCGTTAGAGCTTTATTGTATAAAGAGCATTTAAAAAAGAAACACAAAAACCGCCTCCGCATTGCCAGAGAAAGTTGCCGGTCGGTCCCATATCAAGCACACCTGTACGGTGTACACCGAAAGAAACATGCTACTCTGTATAAACTTCAAAACTATGCAAAACGAGCAACACAGCCAACTCAAGTTCATGAAGATCTCTTGAGGCATTTCAGCAATAAGATATTTATGAAAAGGTCTTCAGCAAAGAAACCTTTCGGTGACACCGTCTCTCTCCTTCATTTCGATGTTATTTCTATCTACATTGTATCCAGGACGTACCTTTGCTTTAAGCTATCCCATTTCGATCCTCTGGCGTGCCAAGAGCAGCAGTGGCGGGTTCATCGCCGGCTCACATCCAACGGGCGTCCATCACAGCGCGCTGCCGGCCGCGCGCCGCACCATCGCACCGCGATACACTCACTCGCGCGCGGAGCAGACACAGCGGGCGGGCCGGGCCCGTCCCCACTCACTGGGCGTTCGGCCGGCCGCCGGACAGACGGGCGGACGGAGCGGCGGTCCGGCCCCAGTCAACAGCCGCCGTCCGGCCAGGGCCAGCCGGCCGCGCCCGGTCACGACTTCCAGAAGTTGGGGTTCATCTCGAGCCGGCGCTGGAAGTTGTCGTACCAGCGCTGCACCACACTCAGCGGCACATAGCTCTCGTTGGGAGCCACCGCCATCTGCGCCGGCGTCACGCTGAAGCTGGTCGCATAGTTGACAAAGTTCTGCAGCATCTTCTGGACGAATTCGACAAACGACGGCACGGTGGAGGGCTCGGCGGCGGCCGGCGTCAGGCCGGCCACCTGCACCTCCGGCTCGACGGCGATGCCCACCTGGGCATTGTGTGAGAACTGCTGAACCAGGCCGGACGGTACGGTGGCGGCGCCGCTGCCGTGCTTCAGCGACGCCACCTTGAACACGGCCGACGGCTTGCTGTTGGAGAGGAAGCCCAGGTAGATCCAGGTGGGCGGAGAGTTGGGCTCCGGCCAACTGAAGTACACTGGGGGGGGGGGGGGGAGCAAAGGCGAGCAGTCAGTGAACTGCGCAACAGTCACACGTCGACCAACACGTCACAGTACACACGAGAAGGAATTGAATAACTGGATATTTTTCATGTGAGAGCTCTTGTATTTTCATTACATGCGATGAAAGCGAAAACATAGTCAATACTGGGCACTGAAAAGGGTGCGAATGCCCCGAATGCCATCCCGGGGCCTCCGATCCACCAGTGGCCGTGCAGATAAGCAAATGCAACCTGTAACGTTCTGACAATCCACTGCCACAGTTCCATGTCAGATTTAAACCCCTCCCATATCCCTGCCACCCACTTTCCAGCTACCGATCACATTATACTGCACAGTGCACGCCATTTAGCCAATCAAATACCTCTCACCAGTTCATCCCAGCTAGTTACGCAATACGCATCCCCAGCGACCCGAATAACTCCCACCCGCACCCGCCATCAGCTCAGCCACCGGTGACCGGGCCGTGCTGCCCTCACCTCCGGCGGCCGTGTTGTCCGGCAGCGGCTGTGAGCCCGTCAGGAACACGATGATGTGCCGGATGTTGTCCGCCTCGGGCACATTGATGACAAAGTGGGTCTCATCGACCGCCTGGAAATCGGTGCTGACCAGCCGGCCGGCCACTATCATACCAAACACGGAGACAGACATCGCTCACTTCTGATGATCTCACATTCACACCATTACCTGTGAAAAGTGAGCAAGTTTATCACAATAAAATCAATATAGGATTCTGACATATACGTAGACAATGTACTTGGACTTGATTATTTGACAGCAAAGTTTCCTAAGTTCCAAAGTTATTAAGTTTCCTACTCGAAACTATATTTTAAAAGGTAATTAACTAATTTATCCGTAACTACAGTGACTCATGACAGGCATTTTGACAGCAAAGCAAAGTAAAAAAGGTTCATTTTTTCATAAATTTAATCCTAACCTTTCGAATGGAGATATTCAAAAGGACAGAGCCCCCACTAAGCAGATCTAATTGCGTTGGCCCTGCTCTCCACCCTCCCATCGCTCAATGCCTGTCTATGGCAGAATTTAGTCCAAATTTAACGTACGCACACAGCCGCGTACGGCCGGTCCCCTTACTGACTTCAGCTGGCAACGGCCTGCCACCAACGGGGCAGGGGCGGCGCCACTGATTTTGGATGGGGTGGGGGGAGACAAGGACTTAAGATAGTGAAGCATTACTGTCGCCACGCGAGGTAGGGCAAGCGGGACAACTTGCCTCTGAGATTGGTCGGAAAAAATGGAGCTGTTTTTTTCTGAGAATGGATGTGAATTCGAGATCGGAGTCGACAGTGCTAGTCAGTAGCATCCCAATGACATGGATGGATATGTGTTGCTTGCGTTGCCCGGTGGGTGCCACTATGTTCCGGTGCCACTGCCTAGTGCCTACTGGCTACCCACATGGAAAGTTTCAGTACAATCACCCAAATAATGAATCTGAATGAATGAATAAGTGAATGTGGAATAGTTCTGAATGTTACCAGATCAGTAGGTGGAACTATGGTCATGAGTACCCAAATATAGGAACGTTCCCATTTTTGGGAACGGAGTTCCCAAATATGGGAACGGGCGTTCCCATTTATGGGAACGGAAGGTAATTTTTCGGCCGTTCGCCCACTAAAACTCATTAGTGCATCACGTCTCAAAAAAGTGCACGCTAATTTAAGTATCTACTAAGTCTCTATAAAATTATCTTTAATCTGACCGTTGCACAAGGAAATTGACCGTCGAATGATATTTTTAATGATTTTTTGAAATGACGGAATGGTGAAAACATGGGTTATACTACATTTAACTTGCAATTTTAAGGAAAATGAAGCGTTTTTTACATTTTGAGGTCAAGTATAATAATTTTCGCCTGGTTATGAAGTTTCATACTAGCGACACCAGATGCTGACATATGCAAGCGAACACGCGGACAGTCCGGGGGTAATATTGGTGACATTTGGTGTCGGGGCGCACGACCGCATGGAACGTCAGTGATTTTACCGAACTACTGTTGTAAACTCAGTTTCAGTGGTTTAAAATTATTCAGCTGTATTTTATCATCCCAGAAAGATATATTTTTTTTGGATGCTAGCTGTTTAGAGTTGTTTTATAAGGAGCGTCATGAGCGTGGTTTTTGTCTTCCGTGTTTCTAAGCGTGATCGTTTTGGGGGAATTTCTCTTATATAGGTCGCTCTGTGTGGCTTATTTATAGTTTTTATGCTGATTTCGATCATTCCTCGTGCCCATCCTACCAGGCCTTTTGCCACTTACACTCATCAAGAAAGGAAAAAACTAGATTTTCATTGGGACTAGGTGTTTTGAGGGTGTAACATATTCAGCGTTCCCATTTTTGGATACTTCCTTGTGCTCGTCAACTATCGGTGATAAACAGACAGATGCTTGACATGTCTCCACCCTCGGCGCGGACGGTGGATATAGGTATGGAAGACCTTGTTGAACATCGCTGAGCGTTGTGAATTACGTATCCTGCAGAGGGGGGCGTGCCCGCTGCGAGATCGACGGGAATAAAAGCGCAGAAGACCGGGCGAAACATGCGACGGTCTTGCCGGAAAGGTCATCTGATGATTGTTGCGTTAACAATAATTTGCGGCGTTGGACGTGATGCTTGTTAATGAAAAGAGCCCCTGAAAGGCGTCGGTGAAATCGTTCCCAATTTTGGGTACGCCGTTCCCATAATAAGGAACGCTTGCAGCGCCAGTGTACGAGAGCGTTCCCAAATTTGGGCTCGCGGCCCGGATGATGGACTGCTTTAGAAATAGGGGAACGATTTGAAACTACGATGGGCCTTACAATATCAAACTCTTTCCCAACAATATTGAGACAAATATCAGGCGGTTCACGATCGTTTTATATTTTTTGGACGTCATTTAACGGTTCTTTTTCTTGTTTTAAATAATGCCTACATGGCGTTCCCATATTTGGGTTTATCGTTCCCAAACATGGGAACGAAAATGCGTTCCCGAAAATGGGTACGCTTGACCATAGTTCCGCCTACTGAGATGCTGTGAATGTGCACTCACAGCATCAGCATTTGGTTAGATTGTGCCCTAGATCCGGCACACCACTTCTTCAACTTCCATTGGTGCCCTCTGGTGATACTTCTGGTCGCTTGGCCAAAGAAGATTTCAAGATTGCTATTTGCTGGGTGAATGTCGATGCCAGCATAGAAGATCTAGCTGGTAGGTACGCCAGAATCATATCGCCTCTTCTACAACAATAACACAATGATGGCAGGTTCACGAGCTGAAGTCTCTCTGTGTATTTTCTGTGTCTGATGCTTTGGGCAAGCTATGCCCAGGTTGTGGTTTACAAGTTGCATGACTGAAATTTGTAAATGCACAACTGAATCAGGCTAGTGGTCAGAGGAGGTCCTGTGCACACTGCACACCTTAGACCTCTGCCACATTTTGCAGTCTGAATGAGACTGTCATCATAAATAAATTTGAGCCATAAGCTGCAAATATAACTCGAGCCATCAGCCAGATACTGCTTCCCAAGGCTATATAAACCGGCTCAACATAAAAAATGCAGTGGCCAATCTAATCAAGGCTCCTAGTAACCACACAACGGAATATCAGTTACCATAATTTACGCAAGTTCACGACCAATTCTTGTACCAATTGTGTTGAATATTCGGTTTCTTTTGCTTTTTTGTGCGATATTTCAAACGTCGTTGCAATCGTTGGAGGAGCCAGCCGCTCTCCTCGGGGGGTCGCTGGATACATTGCATGCAACCCTTGGTATGCGCTGCAAATAATGTTCGATTGCGTCCGTGACTTTGTAGGCTGGTGGCGTCGACAGTAAATCCTCGAATGCGAGCATGATATTTGCCTATTTCTGCCTACCGACAGCTAAAAATACCAAAACAGAACACAAAAATTTTGACTAGCCAGAGACAAACCTGAAAGACATGAGACCACTAAAATCCATCAACCAAATTTTGGCTACACACGGCTTCGCCTTCGACTGTTGTTCGACTGGCTTCCGCTGGCTTCGACGGCCTTGCAAATCCAGGGTATAACAAATCCAAGACTCGACCAAGGCAATCTTCTACCACCTGTAAGTCAATATACCCTGCTACCAGTTACCACCTATTTATATAGGTACACTGTGCTACCACCCAGCTACCACCCTCTGTTCTTGCCCCCTGAAGCTGAGGTAAAAGTTTTGTGATTTTACGTGTCAGGTCAACACTCAACAAGATGGTGAACATAGACCATTTTTTCTTGACTAAATTTGCCCTAAATGGTGTCATAGAATTGTTTTTTTATCTAACCTAACCTTCAACCTGCAAACAACCTGAGCCTACAACCTTCATCATTGCAGTTTCTTGCCTTTATAAAACATGTACGGGGTCGGGGGCCTGCAGTTGCTACTGTACACGAGCCCCAATTCTAGCCGTCTGTCCTGCCCAGTAACAACCGATAACATTGATATCGACTGCCGGTCCCTGTACAAGAATAGCTGAGGTTTTCTGTACTTGCCTTCTGACAGCTTATTGTTGTTCCCTGTGAGGGTGCTGGGACAATTTACTCAGAGTCGCTGTACAGTAGCAACTGCGGGTCCCCGTACCCACACTGACGTCTACGCCAGCCTTACCTATACCAATACGGCTATAGGCACTTTCCAAGGAAGGATGTTTTTTCCTTTCATGTTTTTATTTGACGAATTACCTACTACCTCAAAATTGTGCTACTTTAATGAAAAAAAAACTGAAGTATCGCCTTACCTACAGTTTTTAGAGAGTGCTAATTGCAAAAGGTAGCTGAAGCCAAAGTTTGAGCTGTCCATCCTCAATGCTGAATGTTCAATGCTGGTTCAATGATGTGCCCCGAGCTGAACAGCAGTTGTGCAGGCATCACTTCTGCTGTGTATATTTCAAGTTCCAAAGGTGGTGTGACAGGCTGTGGCCCTGTCCCAGGTGGTGTCAGCTTATGACACAAATACCTATTGTCAAAGGAAAAATACCACTTTGAACATGGGGTTTGAGCTGAAATAACAGTTACAAGCTGAGGCCTGAGACTAGCACAAATCACTTGCTTTTTTTTATCTAACAATCGCCCCAGGCAAAGATTTCCATTTCTCACATTCTGAAATCATTCCCTTACACAGGAATGTATTCCCTAATGGAAGAATGCCAGGAATGCAGCCGCTTGTGAGTTGTGGCAGAGGCCAATGGTCAGCCAATCAGCGTGCAGTTATTAATTTGAACCAGGAAATGGTCAACCATTCCCTAATGTAGTAGCACAACCAAAAGATTCATTTTGTTCTAGGCATCCATTTTTTGTTGTTGCAGGGCTCAGAAATGAAGGCATAAGTAAGCTGCTGCTCATCTGAAAACATGCAACCAAGAATGACATTATCACCCATCTTCCTTGCACTTTTTCTACTACCATCACCCGAAAGCTGGTATGTCGGCCTTGTCGGCTCCAGTGCAGATGATGGAAGCGCGACCTTCAGGGACCCGACGTTCCAGTTCCGTACTGAGAGCGACGGCGTGGTCATCACGGCGACGGCCGAGCCGGGGCTGCTGGAGCAGCAGCCATTCGTCGAGCTGGATACGGAGGATATGTCCGACAGCGGCTTCTGCATCCCGCTCTCCGTGGCACCGCCCGCCAGCAACGCCAGCGGCGGCGGCGAGCTGGCCGTGCTCTCAACGGCACCGGAGCGGCTACCGCTCAACAACTACTGCGCGCGAATCGCCTGCCCGTGCGGCTCCAATATGTGGTGCACTCTCCGGCCCAGGTACTGCGCAAAGTACCACAAGGTCGGGGACGACCTGCGGGCGTGGAAGAATGACACTCGGGTGTACGCAGAGCGCATCGGCGACACGGCAGACGGCCCGGCCGTCTCTGTGGTCGTACGTCAGGGAAAGCTGCGGTGAGTGCGACACACTGTGTGGAATTGGATGGGACAGGGTGGTTTTGATGCCATTGATGGTCATGATGTGTCCGATATAGGAATATAGAAATATAGGATATGTACATATAGGAACCGGGACAGGGTGGGTCCGACCCCCTACGTAGTACGTACCCACCGATACAAGTCACTGGCAACTCGCCACATCGGGGTGGAGCGCTGAGATCCGCAGAAATATATCGCTATCGGTTTACATGGGTCAAGGTGTTGTAGGATGAGCCAGAATAGAGCTGGAGCCTGGATGGGTTCAATACACGCCAGGATTACACAGCTGGACTTGACGGGTAACATTAAACCATGTTTCCTCGAATGTTTTGGATTTCATTCACTTTTGGGTATCTTTTCAAACTAACATGGTGGTATCCCATGGCTCAGTCCAAGGCAATCTATAGAGATCAGTCGGTGGAGCGTTGGACTCCGCTTGGTGAGAGCACGCGTTCTCGGTTATAACAGTCCGGGTTCGAAGCGCGACTGGCGCTTGACGTTTAGGAGCCTCCTGACAGGTATGGTTGCGGTTGGTGGCAGGCCGTAGCCAGGCGAAGTCAGTGAGGGGACCGGCCGTGCGCGGCTACCTTTTTGCGCACGTTTAACTTTGGATTCCAAATTATGTCATTGAACCGGAATGGCGCGATCGGAGGGTATAGGGCAGGGCCAACGCAACAAGCTTCGCTTAGCGGGCTCTCTGGCCTTGTGAATCCTTCTATCCAAAGATTTTGGACTAAATTTATACATGAAAATTAAGCATGGTGGCGTTGAATTAATACAAGTGAATTTGTAATTTTGTTTCAAGTCGGTACGGATGGATCTTTCCGTATATTTCACATGGTTGCAAGTTGTAACCAGAGTGACAGAGATAACTTTTATTTGTATGCGGTCGTGTGTCATAATGACTTATGAGTTGTACCACCCCAAATTTAGTTTTTGAGACACTTATTATACAAAGACTATCAGAACACAAAAGGAGCAAAACAATCGTTTGGACCCACATTCAAGTGGGACCTGTTCAAGTGTGTGGTTGCGCAGACCGGATTTGCGATAGGCCGCTCACCGGATCGTAGGCGCCGGACGCCTGGTGGCGGTGGCGGTAGCGGCGGACCGGTGGCGGCTGTCCGCAGTGCTTCCGTCCCCACGACCGAACCAGGGGAGGGGAAGCGGCACACTTGTGCGGCGCCGATTAGTTGTGTGCAACGTGTATTAGCAGAACCTCGCCTGCGGCCTAGAACGGTATCGATTGTATGTCTCGCTGGTGTATAGTGAAGCGACAAAAGTGAGTGAAACAATGCATGCTTCCACCTTCCAAGAGTTCATTGACTGAGCTTTCGACTGGACATACCGTCCCCGCTAATTCTGAGTCTTAATTATTATGTTTCGGCGGCAGATTTCCTCGACTACTCATCGAACACGATGGCTGTCCGCCCGACACGAAGATAACCCGACAAGGTGCGCCGGACAGGAAGATAACCCGGCGAGAAGTGCCTGCTGACGAGCCGTACTTTCTGCACGAGGACTGCACGCTCACTGATAACCGGAACATCACTGTGTGGGTAGGTGCCTTGGATAGGGTGTTCGTTCCGCTTATTGGTACGCTGACACGGGTCTAACTTACGCCCGCCCACTCATAGTAGGTGTCATTGTATGGTTACCGGTGCTGATGTCGGGCAATGATTCTGGATAAAAAGGAGGGGACCATTCGATACCTCCTCCCCTACAAATGCGAGGGTTAATGATTAAGTACCCACCATAGGACCTGAAAAATACAACCATAGGACCTGGACAATACAAATGAAGTGTTTGATGTAGCAAAATGCAAATGTAACTTATATTTATAAGTAACTTATAGTTACTTATCTTTCATTATCCGTCAACGATATCGCCTTCCTCAGTAATGGCTCGCTGACCAGCGCTTTCACTTTAAAACCAGCGCTGACCAGCGCTTTCACAGTATTCGCTCTCCTCACTTCGCTGCTTTCGCTTCCCACGGTGACCCAGTGACTTTTTCATGGAAAATATGCTCTTTTTACCACAGGTGGAGCCAGGCACCAGGTTCTGCAACTTCTCGCCCAACTGCCGGAACGCCAAGGTGACGATTGACGCGAGGGCGTTGGGCCGCCGGCCGCCGCCGACGCCGCCTCTGTCAGTGCGCTCGGCGGGCCCGTCCACCCTGCTGACTGTGGGCCTGCCGCTGCTGGCCCTCGCCGCGCTGCTCGCCGTCGCCGCCGGCCTCCTCTTTCTGCGGCGCAAACACCGGCGCGCACTCCGCGGCTTCATGGCCACATCACAGGAGAACGGCGGCTTCGGCCTCGAGCTGAGTGGACCGCGCGTGCTGCTGCTGCACCTGGCGCGCTCGGACGCCGAGCGGGCCGCCCTGCGCCAGCTGACGGCCGAGCTGCGGCTCCGCGGCGCCTCTGTCGTCGACAGTGACGCGCCCGAGTGGCGGCGGGCGGCGCGACGCGACGCCGCCGCGCTGGCGTCGGCCGTGGCGGCCGCCGACCGCGTGCTGCTGCTGAGCTCGCCGGCGCTGGCGGCGGCCGTGGCGGCCGGCGGCGGCGGCGAGCCCGAGCGGCTGGTGGCGGCGGCGGCGCGCCAGCTGTCGGCCGGCCGGCTGACGGTCGACTACGGCCGACTGTACCAGGCGCGGCTGGCCGCCGACGCGCCCACGCTGGACTCGCTGGTGCCCGGCGCCGCCTACACGCTGCCCGAGCACCAGCGGGAGCTGGTGACCGCCCTGCTGGCCGACACCAACCGCACCAAAGCCACCTCCGACAGTGCCGCAACCGATACTATACTCACCTCCAACTAGGCGCGCCTGCGCCTATCACACGCCCTCCGCTGAGGACTGAGGAACGAACGTACGTAGACCGGCATCCACACGTCGTCTCTGGACCATGGTTACGGAGGGATCTGACAACTGTTAGCTCTCGGTGACCGGTAAGTAGCTACAACGCTGTACAAGTATAAGACCTTCATCGCTGT